ACACCGGCCGTCCTACCTAGCACTGTCGGCGCTAACGTGGATAATTTTAATAATTTGTAAACATTTTATGAATTTGTATTTTTTCTCTTTTTTTCCTTTTTATTTTCCTGTTTATTCATAGTCGCTGGGCGAGATTGACCTTACCAGTGGCTGGACTGGCGAGGGTCGAGCGTCACTGGCAAGGGTTAGACCCTAGCAACTTGGGCGAGGCCACCCTCGCAACCTTTGGCTAAGGCTCGAGCCTCACCGAATCTGGCAAGGTCAAGCCTCACCCATGGCCAACAAGAGCGAGCCTCACTAGCCCAGCCGCTGGCAAGGTCGAGCCTCTCCAGCCTAGCCCGAGCAAGGCTAACCTCGCCTAGCGACAACGATGTTGAGCCTCGCCCAAGCGGCAAGAGTCACCAGCGACCTCTTAGACCACAATGAAAAATATAAAATAAAAAAGATAAAAAAAAAATTAAAAAAATTTCATAAATTTTTTAAAAATTATATAAATTGTCCATGCAACTCCAACGGCACCACATAGGATGATCAGCGTCCACGTCAATGATTTTCCGTCAAAATTGGCCGGATGGACTGAATTGAAATTGTGAAAAGGTTTATAATTAAATTTATCAAATTGAAAAGTTTAGGATTGTATTAACATGGTAATTTCCCTCGGACAACCCTAACGATACATGTCCAATAACATCCTGTCAACGTGGTAGATTTGAGATTCACTTCCTTTTTCGAGATGTCCAACCCGAGCAATGTGGCTATTCAGTCTTCAATCTCTCGATGCAACAACCAAAGCCAAGCAATTCTCCAATTACCTAACTTGCAAGACTTTGTTGTTGACCTCATTAATTATGCGCGACAATACTTCGGACTCAAGGACTCGAGCGACTGCCTAGCGAAGCGGCTTCATAACTCGACGTTTTTTAGCTTGCTTTTTGCGGCGCAAAAGTACGAGAGCTTCGTGTTTCGCGAATTGCTCGCGTTATTTGATGCTGGATCCCAGAATCAAATGGATTCGCTACCTCGGCGATAAATACAACATTGTACTGTTGTCGCGACCTAAAAAAATTCCTCATTTTTCGGGCTAATGGATTATTAAGACTAATCTTAACTCGGGCCCTCCCAAGCCCTACCAATTCGCAACTTAGAGTTTAAGTTTTTAACATGCAAAAATTTTTATGCTTGGAGTCGCCACTAATCAATTTATGGTAGGTTGATTAGAAACCTAAATAAAACATAGGGAGATATGTTTTATTCCTACGAACCAGAGATTCTAAGCCCGGGGACTTGATTACGCTAGATCTGGTCTAACGCCCTTTCGGTACCTTTTCTTTTCAAAAATGTTTTGGCAGGCAGTTTGGATCCATTTCAACTTAGTTACTAACATGTGAGGTGTTCATGCGAGTGCGCAAACCACCAATTTAACACCCAGAAAGCATTAAATAAATTGCAAGTTTGGAAGAATTACTTACCTGGAAGCAACGTAAGCATCTGCTTTATTAGCTAGAAAATCACATTGACACCCTAATATGATTTCTAATTAACAAGCAATTCACTCAATTTCTTTTTTTGGATTTTCACTTATTTAAATGAAATCTAGCCTATATGCAATGACATGCGAAAATGACATGCGATTAATGCAACCTAGCATGCAAATTATATGTCGTGCGATGACGTGACCTATTTCTAATGACAGGACGAATGATTATTTTTGGTATTTTCTCAATTTAAATTCGGAATAATAAAATTGCCTAAATTAACATGCAAACTATGATGACTTAATCTACCCTAGCATGATTTCTCCTTAGGATTTTTGTTAAAATTCGAAATAATGAATTACTTAAATTAAGAATACAATCTATCCTAATCTATCCTAAAACAATTCATTCTTCTTTTCTTGGGATTTTCATGGAAATTCGAAATAATAAAATAACCTGAATAATCTATTAAGATTAGAATATTACTTAATTTAAACTAGGAAATAGATCATCTCAAGTCCTAATTTAAATTAAATAACTACTCTACCTTCTAGATATATTTAGGATTCCTAGACATGCAAAAACTCTAATTCAAATCTAATTAATATTTTTTTGAATTTTCTGTTTATTTGAAAAAAGGAAAGCAATTAAATAAACAAGGATAGCAACCACATTCAAAACGTTCACGCGATCCGGCATATTTGTTTCAAACTCGGATTAGGCACAAAAATCAAACTATCGGTCATATCTATAGGGTTATAGATATCGACGGAAAGCCGATTATTCAAATTTGGAACGCGGATAAAAATCATTATCGTACCCAAGTGGTTATGGATAGGATAATAATTTTCCGTATCGCCTCGTATCGAACCTTAGGGATAAGGTCGGATAGTCGTCCAGATACGTTGCTAAATTAGGAAGTTTTCCTAATTTTGAATATTTAAAAATATTGCGGATATATCGAACATTATCCTAAGATATCTAAATATCCACATGATACTCACGAAATATTCAAACACCCATATTAGGAAATTAAATATTCTGAAAATATCGGATAATGTTGAATTACCTAATTTGCAGATAACTTCCAAATTCGAATTGTGGATCGGGATCGAACTCGGACGACGGGCGACGCGGCGTCGGCGCGGCGGCTCACGGTGGCGTCCGGCGACGGCAATGGAGGCCCACCGTGGGACGGCAACGGGGTGGCCGGCGGCGGGCGCAATGGTGTGCACGGTGGTGCTCCCAGTCAATCTGCAAAACAAGAATAAGGCCACGGCAATGTAAGGATGCCACGAGGCACTGGGACAGCAGTGGCTTGGCGTCGGGACTCGAGGTGACCAGCAACTTCGAAGGATGTCGGGATTGTGGTGGGGCAGCAGCTGGTCCGACGTGGGCTCAGGAAACAACCACGGAAAATCCAGCAACGAGTAAAGATCACCCACTAATGCCCAAAATTGTCTTCCTCCTGTGTAACACGAATTGAAATTCCACTTTGTGAACTGATGTGCTATTTTTATTCCAACTCCAGTTCACCGATTGCGGGGTTCAAGGACTTCTTTTCCAAGCGGTGGTCAATGGGGATTGGATTGGACCAAAGCTGAAGATATCGACACGTCGAGACCTACGATGGAAAGTGGCGATTTGCTGGTTTTCACCGTGAAGTTGAAAGGCGCGTCGCTGGCGGTTTGCTGAGTCCACAGTAATTGGTGTCTAGTCACGGCAGCAGGGACCACGACGAGGAGGGTCGCGACTCACGGCCACAGTTCTGGTCGCGATTCACGGCCGGCGGCAATGGGCGGCGGCTCGACGATCAGCGGTGGGATGGCGGCGTCGCGGAACAGCGGCAGGAGTGGTCCGCGCAGTGTGGTCGCGAGGCGGCGCGACTGTGAGGCGAGCGTGTGCGCGTGCGCGACCGACTCTCTCTCTCTTACTCTTGCTCTCGCTCACGTGTGACTCTCGTGCTCTCAAAAATCGTGTTCTGAAAATTGTGAGAGCCCCTAAAATCCTGACCTAATGATGTATATATAATACTAATCTAGGTCAATTAGATGGGCTTTCTAGTCCTAATGGGCTTAGGCTTGGGCTTAGATTTTAATTTAATTTAAATGGGCTGAATTAATTAAGGATAATGGGCTGAATTAAGCTCAAATTAAAACAACCGAGCCCGTTTGACTTGTAATTCCCGGCCCTTGCATTCCAAGCGAGCCGAGTCCCATTCGATGAAATTTAAGCTCGTTCGTCACCGCCGGTCCGATGCAAAATGCAATTAATCTAAAATGAATTTAAATTATATGTTATGCAACCTAAATATTTTTGTTTAAGGGTTAAAAATTTAATCCCTAATTTTCTATACAAATTACGACTAAATGATACGTCAAAATTTAGGTGTCAACAACTGTTTAGAGCTCCAGGGATAACGATGCTTTTTGGTACTTCTCGAATTACGGATGTCGTACTTGGATGCTTCGGCAGACATGGTACGTACTTTTTTTTTTGGTGCGTACTTAGTTTAGCTGGTTTCTGCCTGAGATCTATGGTATCTCCAAAGCAAAGTCAATGCACTAAAAGCAGTAACTTTTAAATTATTATTGGAACCTGTTCCGTAAGAATCCTCGTACGGAAGATCGTTTTCTTTACTTTCACTGTTGGCGGGGCTAGTTTTCTCCGCGGATATTATAGGTCGGATGATAGGTGCAGAACATTTTTTTTTTCCAACTCTTACCCCACAAATGACAACATTCAACTATGAAACAATTTTCTGACCAAAAAAAAAAAACTATGAAACAATTTTCTTAACAAGAAGCTATCGATTCTGTTTTTCACCAGTTAATTAGGAAGATTGGTTTAATTTGAAATTCGACGTGAACGCAAGATTTGTCAAATTCTTTTTCCATAAAAACAGATTTTGATAGTATTTCGATAATATACTACATATGTAAACAATGTTCTCGTGCATTAGGCCAAGTTTGCTTTGATGCCGATTAATGTATATGAATTATGGAGTTGGGTTGTCTCGCTTGGTGAATACATGCCTCGATCAGGGTCTATGCCTTGTGAATTAGGTGCAGCCGTAACCATTTGATTTTGTAAACTCGCATGTGGTTTAGCTTATGAATGACTGTGATCGACGCAGGCTCAAAAGAAGAGAGGAGAGCAAATGGGTTGTGATCGTTCGCTCGCTTTTACACATGTTTCCAATTTTCTCAAGTAATTGTCTCTATGGGGTTGTCCTCATGGAACCATACAACACAATGCGGTTCTCTGTTACCTTTGTAAGGACATGATGGTTCGCCTTTTCCCATTCATTGTTCAACATGTGTCTTTCTAAAGACCTTCCACATCCCCCATCCATTTGGCCGGCTACATTGGCTAAACAACAATTTATGTCTGTCCTTGAGAAGGTACATAACATTTTAATAATCTCTCTTTCAAACGGAAATGAAAAGTTTCTTTAGAAGAAAGAGAGAGAGGAACCTTACATTCCTAGGTATAATCCTGGCTACTCTTCGGTACGTGCCTGTCATGGCTTCCTCTACCATCTTCTTCTTCTCTTTCTACCTCAGCCTCTCTCTCCATGTATCCGCTGATAACTCTAACGATATATGTCCGGCGACATCTTGTCAACATGGCGGACCCGAGATTCGCTTCCCTTTTCGACTAAGAGACGTCCAACCCGACCGATGTGGCTATCCGGGCTTCGACCTCTCGTGCAACAACCGAAGCCAAGCGATTCTCCAATTGCCTAACTTGCAAGACTTCGTAGTCTCCCTCATTAACTATGACCAACAATACATCGTGCTCAAGTACCCGAGCAACTGTCTAGCTAAGCGGCTTCAAAACCAGACGTTTTCGAGCTCGCTTTTCGTGGCGCAAGAGTACGGGAGCTTCACGTTCACGGATTGCCCAGATAAATTTTTGCCAAATTTCGGAATGAGCCCAGTGGATTGCCTCAGTGATGAACACCACAAGGTACTGCTTTGTGATGCCAATGATCCCGGCGCTCTATACCTCCCGATACTCGGTTGCCGTACTTGGAACGTGTCGGTTCCAGTGTCCCGGCAATTATTGATGGATATAACTGAGAGGGTTTCCCTGAAGTGGGATCGGCCGGATTGTAGATCGTGCGAGAAAAGGGGTGGGTGGTGCGGGCTCAGTGGTTCCACGGGCTCTCAAGTTGGATGCTTCAGTAAACATGGTACGTACCTAGATATGCTGTCTAGGAATCTTCGAAGCATTATGTCATCTTCGGAGCAAAGTGAATGCATTATCCTTACTACTTAGAGAGACGAATTAGTGCTTTAAGATCAGTCATTGGAACAATAGGTGCACGACACATGGGAATTGAATCTCTGCGATTGTCTTTCATAATGGTGATTGTGTAAAAGGAGTTTAGATCTTTATTGTGTAAAAGGAGTTTAGATCTTGCTTTCCCCAACAGATAATTTATCTTTTCATTGAAAGATCACTCTTGAACTAGTTCATTATTCATCATAATCGATTAATCATGCAGGGCTTTCAAAAAGTGAAGCCAAATACACGATCCTCCGCGCTGTCCTGGCACCCTTGCTCCTTTGCATGTTCGGAATCACATGTTACCTAAGCTCGCATGCTCGATTATCTGGGCATCCCGATCGTCCCAGACAACCTCCTAACGGTAACGATGGCGAAAACAACGTCGCGGATATCTTGTCTCCTTCGAGCCCCGTGACAAGAACTCGACGCACCTCCAATGGCGCCGTGGGCCTCGATTCCCTCGCGATAGAATCTTATCCGAAGGTTCAAGTCGGTGATGATGGAAGGGTACCTAGGCCAAACGATAATATTTGCGCAATTTGCTTGTCGGAGTACCAGCCCAAGGAGATGCTCCGGACCATCCCCAAGTGTGGACATTACTTCCATGCGCAGTGCATCGACCAGTGGCTTGGGCGGAACGCTTCTTGCCCGATGTGCCGCAATAAAAAGGGGAATGTATAACATTTCTTGCATATATAATTGCCCTCTACCAAAATGGATATATTGACCTCATTTGACCACTGACTTGAGATTGATGTATAGGGTCGTGTCAATCAATCGTTTGTTGTATTATCGTTCCTTGAGAGTTTAGTTATCTACAAGCTTATTTCTTCTATCAAAATGGGTCCAGGCGAATTTCGCAAAATTGTTGTGCTTACCCTTCTTTTGAGAAAATTGCGGTGACCTTTGGGGATTAGAGTTGCATGATGATGTGACTCTACACTGGCCGATCCACAATATACTGAACACCATGTTTGCACCACTAAACAAAATCTTCTTCTTCTAAGCAATGAATAGGTGCATTGCTTTGAGAACAGGATGAACAGTCCCTAGACACAACAATTCGGTTCCAAGGTCAGTTTATGTTGTTTACTAAGGCCTCTAGACACGAAATGACCATCGATGATGATAAGTTTTCTCAACTACAGGGTTCACTAATGGTCCCTAGAAAGCTTTAGCAGCAAGCCTTCTTGCCAGATTTGGCGACGCTAGTGGCCGGTGAGGAGCTTTCTCGTCAGATCTAGTGACACCGTTCTGGCCAGTCGCCGAGGTCTGCCGATCAGCCAGAGGAAGAAGGGAAGAAAAGAAAAGGAAAGCAAAAGATAAAAATATATATATTAAAATATTATTGAAAATTGTCCATGTCAGCGCCAGCCACATCACGTAAGACGGCCGGCGTTCATGTTAGAGATTTTCGGGCCAAAATTGGCCGAATTGACTGAATTGACACATATAAAAAAGGTTAAGGACTTAATTGGCAAATAAAAGGTTTAGGACCGAATTGGCACAATTACAATAAATTTAGTACTCTTTTAATAATTTTCCATGCTATTTCAAATTAATGAAGTTTAACTTATACATCAAATTATTATTTTTTTCCTAAATTCCATCCAATCAAGTAGGATTTCGTCCCGCCATGTACCGCCTAGGTGAGATTGATTTATCACTATGATTAGTCCATCGGACAAATTGATTATTAGCATTCTTCGCATAGTGCTCGGCTCAAGCTTTACTCGAATCATGAATTGGAAACTCCACTCAATCTTTATCGGATACTTTTTTCCCTGCTCGAACTCAACTCGTTACAAATCTCGACATACTCAAACTCAAACTCGACTCGATTTCAAGTATATAAAACTCATCATACTCGATTTTCCCGGCTCGGTCGAATTCGGCTCGGCTCGAAATACTTCAACTAGCCCTTTTTGTTTGTGTTTGAAATTGCATCTAAGGTCACATATAAAAAAAAAGTAATTTTATAAGTACTAAACATCATTTCAAACGAAAATGATATCTATGTAAAAAACAACATACTCGATCAGGCTCGCAAGCCGGCCGAGTCAATTACCTTCGAGCTCAAACTAGACTCTCGAAAAAACGCAAGCCGATCTCAAGTAGCTGTACTTGAGATCGGCTAGCACGAGTAGCTCACAAGAAGTAGTTTGACTCGCTCGCATCTCTAGCCACATTCCCCGATACAAATCGTTTGGATATGGATCAGAACCGGGAACCTACCCGAGAACGAGCCACTTGACTCGTTCTCGGTACGTGGCGAACGTTTCACGAGTCACTTATACGTTATCCCGACTCTTAAATTTTGATTTCGCGACAGCCAATCACAGTTTATCATTCGGGATACGAGGTCGGAGCTCCTTTTTTTAAACAGTGGGCACAAGTGACACGGCCCAGTCAACTTGAGCCCAATCCTGAAGGGCCCAATGGAGATCTCTCTTCGAGACATCATCGTCAGCATCTCAAAGCCCAAGCTCTTGTTCATGCGAACGCCTCGAACGCAGGGGGCTGCCACGTGGGTTTTCTCAACCTAGTCGGAGAGACGACGACGCAGTTGCTGTCTGTCTCTCTGCGCATCTCAGGTCCCGGTCGATCGATCAGCTCCTCCTCGCTTCACATCACCGAAGCGAGTTCCGGCGGATCGCCGGACATTGATTTTCCGGCAAGCTGGAATTGTTCGACGGTACGTTCGTCCAAGCAAGCCTTTTTTCGCGCTCCCCTTTGGTGAGATTTATGCGGGGGTTTCTGGGTGCGGGCAGTGTTGGTCGCTGAGGCCATGAGTGCTTCGAATTTGAGCTCGCGAAGTGAATGGCGCGCGAAACAGTTCGCGTTCCAGTAAATCTTCTCGCGCTTTTTCCCGTTCTAGGTACCGCGGGAAATGTTATGTTTTTCTCTCGCTGCATTATTTACTCAAAAGTTGTGCGCTTTTGCTGATGTTATACGGAATCGTGTTTTCTCTCGGTTTGTTTCTGTACGTGCTGTAGCTAAGAGCACGCGGCAGAAGATCTGGTGGGGAATTTTGTCGAACATCTGGCAGACCCACCAGCTTACGTGGGTTTGGTAGTGATTCTGAGCTCCTTTTAGTAAGTGGGTGGTTGATGCTTCGTTGTGCCTATGTGTCCTTAGCACATTTATACTGGTATGTCAGTGCGGCTATGTTATCCGATCTGCAATTTGATACATGGACTCTTTTGTGTTAGGGAGAGTGCACTCCTATTGCCAATGGCCTTTAGACAGAGCCTCTGTAAGCGATCAGGCCTTATTGCTCAAAGGTATCGCGCATCATTTACCTATATTCCTCAGCGCGATGAGGATCATGGAGGTAACAGGCTTGATGTCGATCCAAATCAACGGATGCTAAAGGATGTTTCCCAACGGAGGTCCTTTGCAAGTAACGTCAATAAGTCAGCTGTATCCGGGCCCTTTTTCAAGAGTGGTTCATTATCAACTCGCTCAAGTCTCTTGTTTTCACCAAGCATGGGGTCTTCTTTCCATCGGTACATGTCAACCGCAGTTGGTGAAAGCGCAGATAAGATTGAACTTATAAGTGACGTAGCGGAAGTCATTACAGATACTACAGTACAGGCAGTTGCTTCCCAGGCACCTGCTGTTAGTGAAGTAGCTATAGCAGCTGCAGATTCCTACTTGCCTGTGATGGCCTTGCAGTATTTGATCGACTATGTGCACCAGTTCACTGGCTTCAACTGGTATGGATGGATAATTTATTTCCTGGTATTTGTTATCTTGGACACGTCGGTAAATCTCTAATGATGTAAAGTGGCATCTCATCCAGATGTTTTCTTCGAAGAAACAGATACAGTTCAATCAAATGCAATGGGATTACATATTTAGAAAATCATATATCACTTTTAATGGTGTGTTCAAAATCCTGTTAGATAAACCGACAAAGCCTTGTATCTTTAGTGTTTGACTTTCCCTGCATGGAAAAATTTGTAATTGCTGTGCCTTTAGATGGTGTTGATTGCTTGTTAAAGCTATCGAAGGCAGCAATTATTGATACTTGACTAGTTAGTATTCTATGTATAAAGCTAGGATTTGTCTTTTCAAAAGGGGAGCATCCACTTTCAAATACGAATGATATTATGAGGCAGTTTTTACAATATCTTGCATGTATCTTTCAGGTGGGCTTCCATTGTGGTGACAACTCTCTTGATTCGAACTGCAACAGTTCCTCTTATGATAAATCAACTGAAATCTACTACCAAACTTTCTGTAAGTTGGACTTCTACTGCTACATTTTCCATGTTATGTTCTTAGTAAACAAAGACATGCAATGCTTGGTGTAATTGCCTATTGAGACTGTTGCATTTCATCTATTAAAAATGAGAATCTTCTGCTCGATGCTTAAGATATGATACTACACTACACGGATGAACATTTGACTAGCCAGTTAATCATGTCTGATTTGCTGTTCAGTGATTCAGCCGTAGTTCATTTCAGTCCATCACTCAGATGACTTGACGTTATTTTTAACTGCCGATGAGTAAGACTTCTAGGGTGCTGAATCTACCAAATTTAAGGGATTTAAGCATTTTATAACCTGCTCATATTTCGGCCCAACTATGTAGATGCAATTGGCAATGTGTTTTTTCTTTATGCCTTAGGATGTTTGAATCGTTCCTGATATAGTACTTTTTAGTCTTTCTCAATCAATACCAGTATAACTGCTCCACCTCTGTCATACATACGGCATTAGCTTCTGTTTCATCAGCTGCCCTTACACTCAAGACTTTCAATTATAGGCTACTAATCTGCTGCACTTTAGATGAATATATTATTTATTATCATCGATATGACAGCAGAGGGGATCCCTTTGTTATTCTAGACCATAATGACTTTTTTTAAGCCAAGGGCTTTCTTATTGGCAATATGTCGTTAATACTCATAGCCATTGATATATCTTGTGTACTTATCCCCTAGTTGGTTACTTATGTTGCTGTTACTCCAAAAGGAAGTATGTGATTATAAAAAGCTCGGCATCATCTTATGTTTGTGAGAATCAGAATATAAGGAACTTGCTATCTGTGTGACAATTGGAAGCAATGAAATTTGTACTTTTACCATTATCCAACAAGATTTTCGCAGCAAAGAGAAAAGATTTAATAGCTGTTCTTATATTCACCTTACAAATTTTGTTTAAAACGTTTGCCAATATAACATAGAGTAAGGATTATGACTTTATTTTCTCGTAAATTGCAATTGTTGACAATTGTCCATTTTTCTGGAATTGCAATGGTTGAAATTATTGGTTTTCTTTCAAGGTGTTTTAATTTCCATTAGCACACTTTGAATTTTAGTGCTAGATCAATGAGCTGCCTTTTGCAATCTCATGGTGCAGATGGCCAGATATGTTTTTTGAATTGTTTCCTGCTTTATTGCATACGGATCCATGTCCTTTATAGTTGATGTTATCTTTCATTTTCTGTAGATAATTAAGCCACGCATGGAGGAGATAAAAGCAGAAATGGATGCAAAGGTATGACTGGCGGTCATGTATCCTGCTTGACATTTTACCCATGTTCCAAGATGCAGCTGTTTTTGTCTTGTTAGGACATGTATTGCTGCAATATTCTACTTGGGCTTGAATTTCCACTGTTTGCCGGATCTGCGTGTGAATTTCTACTTGTGCGCCCCCAAAGTTGTCGCAAGCACGAAACGCATGAAGCTCTGTCGAGGAGCTCCTGTTTGAGATGTCTCCTCCTTCCTTGCCTTTCATATCCTTACTTGTCAATTAAGTTCAAGATCTTCGTCTAGCATGGCATGACTGGCTCCCAATAAGCAGACTGCATGTCTACATATGCTGTAGTGTGTGTGTATGATTTCTTTAAAGAGTTTAGCTTGATGAGCTACCTAAGACTGCCGTTTTTCCTATCTGGGGCAAAATCCTTGATTTTCTCAACTCTGGAGATTGACATTTGGGTAGCCCTACATGTGTATGTGAATGTTTCATGTGTTATTTTATATGACTGGACATTACGGCAATTGTCAAGAATGGATGGGTTTTCTTTTTATCCAAACAAAATTCAAGGGTTTGTTTTAGGTGAAAGTTATGTACTTATCTTCCTCATGTCTTTTAGGGTATGGATCCAATTGCTGTGGCTGAAGGTCAGAGAAAGATGAAGCAATTGTTCAATGAGTAAGAAACCCTTTTGTGCCCATGCCAGACCACTAGTATTAGTTGCTTTGCTGCCATTCATCCTCATAGTAATGTTTTATGTGTAGAAAAAGATTGAGGACAAAGAAACTCATTTCATGTGAAAATTGCTAAGACTCAAAAAGTCTTCTAGGATGGTGGCTGGTGTATTTTGAAAAGTGCACTGGTTTTTCTTCTCGCAATTATTTAATTCTCTGCTTCAGTAAGCAGCAAGATTTTCTACCCTCTAAACTTGCAGGATAATATACTAAAAATTAACTTGCAGGATAAAAGGGTATACATTTCCCGGCCAAATTGTATGCTATGGAAAACCTAATAAATTACATTAGCGTCATTATCATCATCATCCTCATGATCCATTACAATAGCGAGAGTCATTTCATCATCCGCAAAAGCTTCACTATTTATTCCCTCCCTGTTTGCTTGACAATGTAGCCCTTTCTTTCAACTCTTCACCGACCACGATGGCCTCTACGAGGCTCCAATATTTTGAGCAACAGTCTCCCTAGAGTACATCAATATGCTGTTAGTGAAAACTTAGAAATGTGGAAGCTGTATTATCCATTAATAATGGATCAAAAAGACTTTCAATTGGATACATTGTTCAGCTTAGACAAAAAATGTTTGCGCAGTCTACTCTCAGAACTCGAGTACCTGTACTGGATTAGGTATTAAGCAAGTCAGTATGTCAAAGAGTAGATTGCTTGGAGGATTATATGTGTATTTTGAAAAGTCCTGTTCATCAAGTCTGCCATTTAACAACTTCTTTTCGGCAACTTCTCCTCTCGTTCTTAAGATTACTGATTCATTTGCATAGTTGAGAAGCTTTCTTAAAGCATAGATTACTTCCTGAAAATGGAGAGTCAGTTCTTAGAAATGCCTCTTGATAAAAGATTACCCACTGTTTTTCTTTCTAAAGCATAGGCTGCTCAATTCGCCTGTGTATGTTCTAAAGATCAATATAAAGTCTCAGATACTAGATTAAGTGAGTCAGTAGAACAAGGGATCTTGCTTGATTGTAAATTATGTGGAAAAGTGTCCCCTTAAATTTCTGAAACGTGGATCATCCTTTTAGTGAACTGAAGTCTATAACCATGACTTCTTACTTACAACTTTGCAGAAGTGGCGTTAGTCCATTTACACCACTGAAGGGACTGTTTATCCAAGGCCCTATTTTCATCAGTTTCTTCCTTGCTGTAAGACAACAACCGCTTTTTCTTGAATTATGGCTTAGTTGCTTTTCAGTTATCTCTCACCTTTCCCTTTGCATCAATGTTTAGAATACAGATTCCTCCTTTTTGTAGGTATCAAACATGGCAGAAAAAGTTCCATCGTTCAAAAGTGGTGGAGCATACTGGTTCACAGACCTCACTACCCCAGATACTTTATATATCTTTCCAGTTTTGACAGGATTAACATTCTTGATTACCGTGGAGGTATATTGGTTTAGCATGGATTTAGAGCAAAATGTTGCCTTCTATCACCTTTTTCCATGAAATGTCCTTCATTTGCTTCAATGAGGACACTCTCTCTCTCTCTCTCTCTCTCTCTCTCTCTCTCTCTCTCTCTCTCTCTCTCTCTCTCTCTCTCTCTCATGGCACAAACATTCATGTATGCACACACACCTCACGAGTTAATTATGCTATTGCATTGTGCCTTTATTAAGCTATATCTTATGCACATTCCATCGTGCAAGTAGCTGGTCTAACTCAAACATGAAATCCACCTTTTTCTCATACTGAATGCGAAGTTTACATGGTCTTATCGTTGCTTTAGATTCTTTCCTTCTCACTTCTCATTTTTTGTGTTAAGTGTTTTGAATAGCTGGCTCTTGGCCTACTAACCCAGCCTTTCTTCAGTCCAACACGCAGGAAGGCATGGAAGGAAACCCCATGGCTGGTACAATGAAGAATGTTTTTAGGGCCTTTGCTGTTCTCACTGTTCCATTTACAGCTTCTTTCCCAAAGGTAAAACTCCTGCTTTTGGTGTTAAGATCCTGATACTTGTTAAATATTTTCATATGTGGAAAGAGAGATACTGATTGCATAATGTGTTGTCATTTTGTTGAGTTTTCTTTTTCATTGCTAAACTGATTCATCTGCATTTCATACTGAGTTGTCTGCACTGTGATGTAGGAGCGTCTGAAAGTTGAAATTATTTCCTTTTCCCCTAAAAGAGAGTATGGGCTTTAAAAACATAAGTGATGAGGTTGTCACCTTTATGGCGTTTTCAGTTATTTCTGCAGACTGTCTTATTTGGACTAACCTGCAAATATAGATACTGGAGACCCCATGAATTTTTTAAAGCATACAGAGCCATAATCGCATGGATAGTGACAAGATTATGTTAACTAATTTAGCATGTGGGCCTTATGTCACCTCATCTTAGAATCAAATTTTGAAAACAATTTTAATGTGATTCAGGAATGCATTTACGCATGCATCTTCCTTGGAAATTGATGGTTGTATATGGGCGGAACAGGCACTACATCTGCTTTTTCTGGTTTTCTTGTTTCCTGTTGTCTCAAGATACTTTGAACACTCCGACAGATAAGTTTCTAGTGATTTCAGATGGAAACAAACATTTATCCCGATGGACGATACTTTTAATTTGCAGGCCATCTTTTGTTACTGGATAACCACCAACTTTTTCTCTCTCCTGTATGGACTTGGTAAGTCCCCTCTGCATCTAAAACATTAAGCAAATAATTGAGCTACTTCTGACACCGGTTCCTTTTTGCTTTTAATTTGTCCCTAAGCGTCTGACCATGTGAACAATCATTTCAGTGCTCAAACATACAAACCTGAAGAAGATTGTGGGTGTCCCGGAGTTGCCCGTGGCTTCGAAACAACCCGCCCCGGAACAACCTGTCTTCTCTGTATTCTCGGCACTCAAACAACCAACTTCTGCAGTGCAGGAACCTAACTCTGCACCTGCTCAACCATCCAAGTTCAACGACAGAAGGATATCTTCTTCTTCGGTACTTAGTCATAGGCTCAGGAGTCTGGAGAAAGAGGTGAAGGGACGAAAGAAAAGCAAGAAAAGGTGAAGATATTTTCAATTTACTCGTAGTAGACCCTTTTTATCTATTATTAGGAGGTGCTGAGCGGTGTTAAATTCTTCGGACTTTTCCTACTTTTTAACATAGATTACAGAATACAGTGACGCCGCCAGTCCGCCACCGGATGGCATTAAAAAAGAGAGTTGAGAGGATACTGGGTCCCCTATGTATTTGATTCTTTGTTAGAATAACCGCCTTGGCCTTTGTTGTGAGTGCCAATAGAAAATTTTGGCGGTTCCGCTGAATAATCTGATGCACACATCGATGTATGAAGTCTGTATTCTTCCTGATGAAGGTTGTTTAATCATTGGGTTAAAGCAGAGAGCGAGGAACAGAGCGATTTTGAATCCGCCTCTAGTACTGTATACTTTTATCATTTCAGTGGCGACGGCTTAACAGATCATTTGATATTTGGTGGACAAATGCTTCATTGATCCAGCAAATAATGAAGGCTTTTGCTTTCCAAATTTTCGTCCGAAAGCTAGTGTCTAATGGGTGACCCGATTTTCTTACATGTCTTGTTAACGAATATTATTAAGCATACTTGATAAGAATGTTTCGATATTTGAAGTATGGATTAGATGCATCTTTAAATGACTTCTTAACAGGAGCCATGATGGCATTTTTTTACAATATGCCTCTTATATATTGTAAGGATTAGGTTGAAAGTGTCTTGAGAAATCTGTTGAGCAATTGAATAAGGTAAGATTGTTCTTTTTAATGCAGCCATTCGCGTGTTATATGTACTCAATGCATCGAAAATTACCGTATATGGTTAACAGAGCCCGTGTCATAATCTTGCATAGCTCTCTTTCAGGGTTAATCCAGTAACAACAGCTAATTAAGTAAATCTGTCTTTAAGCAAAAAAATGAACGGTAAATCTGTCTGAAAGTTGGTGCTTCCCTAGAAGAGGAAGCGGCATCAATAATCCAAATAAGCTATAGCGAAAGCAAACAAATAAATAAATAAACGAACGAGCACAATTAGAATGACCATGCCATTCGGCATTCTTAACTTTTCATTGCCGAAACGCTGGGGGAACCATTGATCTTTCTCCTCTTGTTTTTTACTCGGTATCAAATCACAAAGGCCAAAATTACACGCATAGACACTTCGAGCAAATGGGGACCCTGGAATTTTGTCGATTTCATCTCTGTTACTGAAGATGTTTCTACGATTTCGTGAAGGAATGACAGCAGTCGAGGGTGACGATCTAGGCTTCAATCCATCGGCAGCTTGAAAATTGCCCCGTCTCTATGATTCAGTGGGAGAGATAGAGATGAGTACCGCAATGCTAGTAACTCTTCTCTGTTATATTTCAACCTTTGATCTGTTGAGAAACAGATCAAAAAATAAAATAAAATAAGTCAGATATAGATACTAAAACCATAAAGATTCAAGAAAAAGCTTTATTCAGTCCGAGAGGAAAGGCTCACCAACAAAGGTTGGGGACAAGCACAGCTTTTCCGAATTAATATTCACTGGAGGAGTTCTTCTATTAAACTGTGATTTAGATGGAAAATTAGAGGGGGGATGGTCTGAAGCTGAGATATGAATAAGTTCATGCTTCAACTCGAGCTGCGGATGTTTTCTATGAAATAGCAATATGGCATCCTCGGTTAAAAGCCAGCAACCCCTCAGATCCAACAGTTCCAGTGATGCCGGAGGTTTGAATGAATCAAGCCCGTTATTTGTCAGCACGGCATCACGAAAGCCGAGGGTTTTTAGGCAACGGAGGGATGACCAGTGGTGAAGGGACAAGTCGGTAAGGTAGGCACTTTGAAGGAACAAGTGCCTCAACTCTGGAAAGTCCAGTAAAGAGCACAGAGCATCATCCTGGACATGGATCTGCTCCAAATTTAACCTTTCTAAACGAAGACTTTGCAGAGCCGTCAAAGAATAAACCTTATCTGGTTCAGCATTTCCGTAGTTGATGAAACCTGATATTTCAAAAAACATACAACAGTTAGCCAGCACATTATCAATTCACAGCTTCATTTGGCTCTAAACAAAATTTGGAAATTAATGCGAGCGGAGAATAGGAGTCAAATGAGACATTTTCTCCACCAAGAGAATTTGGAAACGAGATTTTTGATCGATGGGTTTTTACATCCCTGAAGAGAAAGCAAGAGTCGTAAATACTAGACGCCATTCATCAGCAGCATTGGCTTTGATGTGAACTTCGCAACAAGAGATAAAAACTAATTTGCAGGCCATTGCTATGCTAGTCTGGAGGAAAAAACAGAAGCATTCAGCACGGAATGCGCTGTTTTGGACCTTCGGACAACCAAAGTCCTCTCTGGCTCGCTTGTAGTCAAGCACTACACTGCTCAACTCATTTACAATTCCTTGAAAATATCAGAAAGGTCAAGTCTGAATTTTTCCCTGGTATCCATTTTCATTCAGAACTTAAACTGAAAATAGGTAATAGCAGAAACATTGGACAATCTCCTTCATTTCACTTGTCAGGTTACTCATATTAAAGAATCTGATCTAAAGGTTCTTTCCCCTTGTCCCTAATACATTTGTTTAAGATGTTGTGACATAGTAATATGTCAATGCAGACTAAAGAGAATTGAGACTATTTGCTTGCTGTGTCTTATGGAATGTCTGCATAATAGCATATCAGATACATCAAATAGAACAACCTTATATGATTGGGTCCAAGAGAAGTACCTTTAACCCTTGTGTGGCTTAAGTCAATAGCCCTCAATTTAGGTATCACGCTGATATAGGCAATAGCAATATCATCAACTGATGTATGAGAAAGTGAGAAAATCTCAAGATTTGGAACAAATCCTGCCAGGATACCCACACCGGAAGAAGTCACTCCTGTGTTGTTGAGATTCAAATTCCTCAGGTTGCCTCCTATCTGAGCAATTAGTTCAACTGAATCATCTCCAATTCCACTAGAACTGAGGTCCAACCACTCCAGTGATTTCATGGAAGATAGGAAGTAAAATCTGGGAATCCGAGTCTGAGAAGCATCTAGAAAGGTCAAGAAGCTTGGTTCAAGATGCATGAAGGCTTCGGCCTCATTTGGCAATGTAGCTCCAGCAATTTGGAGCTTTACTAGAGGGGCTTTATCACCAGTTCCTCCAAGGATGGATTTAATTGTGCAGTTACTCATGTTAAGGCATTCAAGAGAGGACAGGTTTGGCAATGTCGTCACCTTGGTCCACGCCAAACTCAGGAAACTCAATTTAGGGAATTTTTCAAGAAGAATGACACCATTGTCTGATAAGTCGCTTCCCCAGAGATCAAGATGCTGGAGTTTGGTCAGTACCTAAAAAACAGGATGTATGACAATATAAAATCGCAGAATAGTAGCAAAGTACTACCAAAGCAGTAATACCAGCTGACAAAGACTTGCCAACAATATTTAAAATCAACTCAAGTAACAGCAAATTCTAAAGAGTTCATGCGATGGAGAATTTCACAGAGTCGATCCTTGATGATCGACAAAAGGCCCAGATGGATAAATTGGCTGATTTCAATCCAATCAGATTTATTATGCTATTTCCTCCCAATAACCTAGAAAACAAGGATAACTGACAGAAGAAACAGAGAGTAAGCAAAAATTCCGAGGACAACGAATTCAAGAAAAAAAAAAGTACCTGAAGCGAATTCAAAGCCTTGTCATTGACAGGCAAGCCACCCAAGTCCAACGTTGACAAGTTTGAAAGGGAAGCCAAAAGTGCGATACCATCTGCCGTGACACCAGTTTCTGAGATCCTCAGCTTTTCCAGAGTGGATATAGACAGAAGATGCCGAATGCCAGCATCGGTGACCTTCACACATCTGGAGAGGTCCACCTCCTTCAAATTAGCCATTCCTTGAACCAAAAGAAGTGGACAATAAGCTTGATTGCAATTGCTAAATTTCTAGAGAGTGTAAGATTCTGTAAAACCACTGCCAACTATTCTAAAAGCTTAAGCTATCAGATGAAGGCGTGGTTTAATATTTAATTATTCTAACACTCCCTCTCACGCTTAGCCTAGTCTTTTGCCTAGTACTAAGCGTGGACATATTTAATTGGGGAGGCAAATGGGGCTTGGAAAGATTTGAACTCAGGACCTCCAGCTCTGATACCATGTAAGATTCTATGGGACCACTGCTAACTGTTATAAAAGCTTAAGCTATTAGATAAAGGCATAATTTAATATTTAATTACTCTAACAGAGAGAAACGGGGTATCAATGATCAAGTAAAAGGCAGAAAGATGCTCAGGAAAATCAGAACATGTGAATTGACATGACTACTCAAACTAAAGGTCCGATGCCTCCACTTCCTTATATGCAAAGTTTCGGTGCCATCATTCTAAGCATTTTGTGATGTAATAAGACCTATTAAATAGAAATGATCTTGAGGATGGCCCACAAGGATAACATAAAAATGATCTTGAGCAAACCTGAAATGGCCCAAAGAGCAGAACTGGTAATTCTATGGCAATCTGCAACATTCAAACAGCGCAAGTAACGGAATCCTCCCAAGTATGCCATCCATTCTGCATCCACAGAGATCTCCCCTCTTAAATCAACCTCCTCGACACAGCTTTTGAATACCCTGTTGAAGCAAGTTCAGTTTGGCAGATGGCCTAGACTAGCATGGAAGAAATTACATTAGAACATGAAGACCACATATCAGATTGCGGAAAAGCCATTCATGTGCTCAAACCAAGTGAATAACACATAATGTTACTACACTTCCCCGATAATATGCTTGGACTCTTCCACTTACTTTTCATACTCAGGTGAACCACATTGTTATACGGTATTTAATTACCATTTATTCCTTTTACTCTCTCTTCCTTTGTCATTCGAGAAATTAAAATAATAAAGGATACAGAAATGACCCTGTTGCAAGAGCTCACACTAAAAATTTGAAAAGGCTTACTGAAGCAGGCACATAAGAATACAAGCAATTGAACAACACTACTTAATTCTAAAACCCATTTGGCAAGTTCTGGAAAGAGCTGGCCCATTAAAAGGTGAAACGAATTCAGCAAATACAATGACCTCTTTGCATTTCCATCACAATGAAGCAAGTTGTGCAGCATCATCGACGTCCCTCCCAAGTTCACCAACTGAAGTGCAGCACATGCTCGATGCTTCCCTCAGAAGAATCAAGTGAAAGGACCAATAACGACTCTCGCCTTTGTTTTACATCTAACTAGTTTACTTATACAAGATGTGCACTATAAGACAACTGGAAAAATATTGAGCACTGGATTTCAAGTCCATATGAACAATCTTTATACTGCACCGTCACTCAAGGTATCTCTTCCTTTTATCTCCAAATATCAAACAAATAAACCACACGAAATCGAGACATCATTCATTTTTTAAAACAGCCAAATTTAAGGAACAAAGCGCATGATCGCAATTTGCAGATTATTCAATCAGCAGAGACAGCTTATATCTCTACGACGCCATTCTTCGATTTCTCTTCCTCAAAAGCTAAATCGAAACAGACCGGAGACTTTCTCGAAGCAAAGAATCTCCAGTCAACGAGCACAAGCACAGTACGGCCACCACGCATTGCTCTCTTTACTTTCAGCTCCAACATCAACTAGACGAGAACGGGTAAATTTTCCAGCTCCGCACCAACTAGAGCCACCGCCGCCAACGAACGTAGAACCGCAACACACGAAACGCGATTCGCGCGCGAGATCGCAGATTCGATCGACCATTTAGAAACAAACCGACACCTCTCCTCTTAACAACAGCTATCTCGCGGCGAGCAACGGGGAGACGAAGGGGGGGGGGGGGGGGGCTTACTCGAGCAACGACGGCGAGAGAAGGCGGCGCTGCAGGAGGCGGCGGAGGAGGGCGTCGGCGAGCGGGGAGGGCAGCCGCTCGAGGGTCCGCCGCTGCATCCGCCACTTCTCGACGGCGTCGCCGCTCCGGCAAGCGGATTCGATGCAGAGGCGCAGGAGCCGGCTCTCGATCTCCTCCATGTCGACCCGTCGGGAGGATCGACTCTCTCGATCGGCTCGATTCGATATCTATGGAAAGAGCGAAAGTGACAGGAAGCTGCTGAAAGTGTAAAGGCTACATTACAATATGGTCATAGCGAACGACAGAGACACGAAGGTAGGCGGATGTCATTCTCCTCGGTCAGAAACAAAATTACGTACGAGAATTCTTCACCTTTTTTTTTTAATGAAATTTTGTTGGAGCGTCCTAAGCGCATTTGTTAAGGTGCTGCATGAAAACCATTCTGGTTCTGTCCAGAACTGGTTTTTTGTTCCTAGAATCAGTTTTGGACCAGAAACCCATTTGATAACGCAATTTCATTTTTCTATTTCCGGGACAAGTTTGCTTCCAAAACTGATTCTGAAACCAGAAATGAGAACCAAAAAAAAGTTGGTTTTTCATTTCTGGAACAAAAGTGAGAACCATTTCTGAGGAATTCATTTTCTTCAACACACATATTCATATGGAAGTCACGATCTTTGAGGTGAGAAAAAAAAGCAAAAAATCAAAAATTTCAAAACTTAAGAGAATGATTTAGAATCTGTGGCTACCCACTTTCAAGTGAAATTTAAATTTTTTTAGGTACCGAAAAAAATAAAAATAATAAAAATAATAAAAAATAAAAATTTCACAAAATGGCTTAGAAAACCTATGGCCACCCACTTTGAGCAAAATTTAATTTTTTTAGTTGCCAAAAATAATAAAAAATTCTAAAATTTAAAAACTTCACAAAATATCTTAGAATACCTGTGGCCACCCAATTTGAGCGAAATTTTATTTTTTTAGGTGCCGAAAAAAATAAAAAAAAAAGCAAAAAAGCAAAAATTTCAAAACTTCACAAAATGGCGTAGAATACTTGTGGCCATCCACTTTGAGTGAAATTTAAATTTTTTTAGTTGCCGAAAAAAATAAAAAAAAATAAAAAATTTCAAAACTTCACAGAATAGCTTAAAATACCTGTGGCCACCCACTTTGAGCAAAATTTAAATTTTTTTATATGCCAAAAAAATAAAAATAAGCAAAAAAGTAAAAATTTCAAAACTTTACTGAATGGCTTAAAATACCTGTGGCCACCCACTTTGAGCGAAATTTTATTTTTTTAGTTGCCGAAAAAAATAAAAAAAAAATAAAAAAATAAAAAATTTCAAAACTTCACAAAATGGCTTAGAATACCTGTGGTCATCGACTTTAAGCGAAATTTAAATTTTTTTAGGTGCCGAAAATAATAAAAAAAATAAAAAATAAAAAACTTCACATAATTGCTTAGAATACTTGTGGCCACCCACTTTGAGTGAAATTTAATTTTTTTTAGGTGTCGAAAAAAAAATAAAAATAAGCAAAAAAGAAAAATTTTCAAAACTTCACAGAGTGGTTTAGAATACATGTGGCCATCCACTTTGAGTGAAATTTAATTTTCTTTAGGAACCAAAAAAAAAATCAAAAATACCATTTGGGCATCTAAAAATAATTAAATTTTACTCAAAGTGGGTGGCTAAAGGTATTGTAAGTCATTCTGTGAAGTTTTGAAATTTTTGATTTTTTATGTTTTTTTTCACCTAAAAAAATTTAAATTTCACTCAAAGTGGATGGCCACATATATTCTAAGTTATTCTGTGAAGTTTTGAAATTTTTTATTTTTTGCTTTTTTTTTCACCTCCAAAAATTAAAAATTCACTCAAAGTGGGTGGCCACAGGTATTCTAAGCCATTCTGTGAAGTTTTGAAATTTTTAATTTTTTTTAAATTTTTTTTGGGTATCTCAAAAAAATTAAAATTTACTCAAAAAGTGAGTGGCCAAAGATATTCTAAGCCATTTTGTGAAATTTTGAAATTTTTTTTATTTTTTTGGGCACCTCAAAAAATTTAAATTTTACTCAAAGTGGGTGGCTACAAGTATTCTAAGTAATTCTGTGAAGTTTAGAAATTTTTGATTTCTTGATTTTTTTTTTAAAAAATTCAACAAATTTTCTATTTTCCCGAAATCTGAATTTTTTTTTTATTTTCTTGACATTTTGATGATTTTTTCTGGAATTTTTCAATTTTTTTGGATTTTCTGATTTTTTTTTAGATTTTTATGAATTTTTCAGATTTTTTAATTATTTTTATTCCATTTCTAAAAAAATGGATTTCTGTTCCTGGAAATAGAATTTTCTGTTGTTTATCAAACGGGTTTTTGTTTCAGGAAATAGAAATTTTGTGCTGTTATCAAACGGGTTTCTGTTCTAGAAATAGAAATTTTTGGTCGTTATCAAACGGGTTTTTTTTCTCAGAAACTCATCCAGGAACCAGAAATAGAAAAATCTATTTCTGGTTCAGGAACTCATTCCGGAACAGAATGGTTATCGTGCGCACCCTAGCCATCAAAATTAAGGAAATTTTACAGTTTTCAACGTACAAGAATCGGTTTCGCGTGCTCTACACGGTAAATACCTTAGAGACTCAATTATTCCGAGCAATGTATGTTTAACGGGTATTGCGGATACACTCATCAATGACGCACATTTCCACAGTTTCTTTTTGAATTTTGTATCAAATTAGAACCCCCGGTACGGGTTATCTTTCGTGATCATCATAAATTGATAATCGAATCGAGTACGATCATACAGAGTACTGGGGTTGAGCTTTTACCGAGGGTGGATTCGACTTTATAAAACAATTGAGAGACATGGATTATCGATATTTATATGTTTTTGGAAGATTTAACTATTTACTCCCGATTAAATAGTAAGAAAACATATATTTTTTAAAACTCGTCCACTTTAGATCTAAACAAGAATTGAGATTTTGGACCTGAGTAGGTCCTTAAAAGGCTCAATGAGAGACAAAGAAAGGAACTCTCCGGTAAGGTGAAGGGATCTTCCCGTAAATTCTGTCCGTATTCCTTCTCTCTTGGAAAGAGAAAAAAATGGGAGGGAACTTAGGGGCCTGTGGGTGGGGAAGGTAAACTCCACGTTAGCTTCAACCGAATACTGCCAAGTAACACAGGGGAGCTTCGGCTCCTCCTTGGTTGGTCTATGCTTCTCATGATGACTTGTAACCGTCTTGCCAACCAAGTACCCCTTAATACAAGTCAAGCGGTAAAAAAATGGAAGGTAAAACAGTAAAGCTTGATTGCTTTTGGGCTTGAAGCAAGGTAGTTAAGCTCGTTAGCCCAGCAGTTATCTCAGGGTTAGGCCTCTAGGCCATTATGTGAACATAATTGATGACATAAAACTGGTCTCACAACTGGTCAGTCCAAGTGGTTTCTTTTGCTCATTTCTAATTTGCATATCAATAAATGATAATTAGCATATAATATTTTCGACGACCAAGATGCAACTGACGACAACAAAGAGCGATATTTGAAGCGACAAGCAAAGAGGTGTGGCGGACGAGGCAACGACGAGGGGACGTGGAGACGCCGGCAAAGGGAGGAAAGAGATTTGGAGATTGTAAAGTTTTCTTAATTGCAAGACAAAAGAGTTGCCTTGCACGAAGAGTAGGCTCGTGTCTGACTCATGAGAAATTCATATCAAGCTCAATATGACATGCCTGTGTGGATCTTACTCGGATCCCACCATCTCAAATGGAACCCAACCCACTATATCTGGTGTCTCAGATTCGCCGAATAATTTCTCATCGAGCAATATCTCACATCGCTCGTTTACGGGATTTATATAATGTGAATGCGGTCTCCATTCACTTTTTAGGCCAAGCATTGTAATGTGTTATCATAGGCAAGTTTCGCGTCTGTAATCCTCCATTCGCTAAATTTCATGTGGCGTTAAAACATCACGCTCATATATTCTCTTTATATACATGTGATCTTCTTGGATATTCATTTATTTATCTATTTTTTAAGGGCCGAGGTCACTTGTGCGTCTGAATTTAGCAAGCGAAAGTACATGCAAATTAGGGGTGAGCGAAAGGAACCGTCCTGACTAGCCGGTTCTAGGCGGTTCCCAATTCCATAGAATTGGAATTGGTGAATTTCCGTCCAATTCTCAATTCCAGTTGTGAAACCCCCCACCCGAACCACTCAAACTGGACCAAGTTTTATCAATTTTTTATTTCTTAAAAATCTGTAAAAAAAAATAGAAAACCCTAATCTATCTCCCATTTCACAATGGAAAGCTCTTAACGACTATGTTTACTTATGTATGTGAGTAAGATGACAAGAACAAATCAAAACACAATAATAGTTGCTCACAAATTAAAAAAAAATTATGTGAAATCTGCAATGTTATACGTAACTCATTGATTATTGATTATCAAAAACATTTTCAATTTTATCTTGAACATTAACGACAAATGAAAAAAAGAAACTGAATATGCTCCGGTTCGGTTCCTAATTCATATGTAGTAATCGGATCACTTTGGAACCGACCACCTGATGCAAAAGAGCGGACAGCCAAACAAAATTCCGAGATCACGTGGAAAGCCAAGACACTCGTCGTCCTGTTCTTGGGGACAAATGGCTCGTCGGTTTCCTCCTTGAGGCCTCCGTGGAGTCACCCCGAGGAGCCTCCCCCTTCCCTCGAAAGGTCAAGCGTTCCGTATGCTTGATTGAGAAAGACGGCCCCATGAGCCATTCATGGATGACGGATGGCTCATGAAAAAGAGGACAACAGAGCATGGAATTCAGCAGACATTACGCGAGAGAGTTAAGGAGTGGATAAGTCATCTTCTGCAGGAACAGGAAGTTTTAACTGTTCGAGCGCATCTCCTGCACTTGTAACGGGCTATAGAAAGATTTACAGGCATCGGCAAGCTCCGTGACAAAGGGGTAATTCAAACTGGATGCACGCAACTACGCCAATTGCCGATTTTGAGAGCTGGATATTGAGTGCCCGAAACATGCTGGGCATTGACCTCGAGCGGGTTCGTTTCTCGATCGTCGGCTGCCCCTTTTTAAGAATGAGCGTCGCGATTGTTTTTTGACCAGCGTAAGTTTAAAAAGGGGCAGCCGACGATCGAGATCCACGTCGGCTGCCCCTACTTAGGTCTTCAAAAGATCTGCTTAAACTTTCTTGGAGAAAAAGAAAGTTAGACCTGAGTAGGAACGTATTCTTTTCGAACAAAGAAAAACGTCTAGGTGGTCATATTAGGGCAAAAACAGATTACACATGTATATAGTACAGAGTTGAAGGCGCTCCTACAACTCCGACAGGCGTGTAGTAGTGCCAAATCTCCGACAAAATCCACTCGTTCAACTGAAAGATTCATGACTTACGTCAAAGTAAGATTGCCCAAAGGAAGGAAGAAAAATACAAGTGAAAGGGCTACGAGTCACTTTTGAGTGGCAAAAGGTCGGAAGACGCAACGGTAGTTAAATACGAGTGCGAGCACACGGAAAAATCAGGAGAGAAAGTGGGCGGTGTCGAATGCCGCTGCACTGGGCATGGTGAGATCGAGTAACGTCATGACAAAAGGTCGTTATTGTTTGGACTTTTTCTTCAAATGATGAGATCGAGTAACGTCATGACAAGAGGAAGAGAACGGAACCTGGGACACGAGTTCCTTATTAGAGTTGATTGACAGACAGACAGAGAGGAGTCCCTGCGTTTGTATGCGCGCGGCCTTCTAGTTCGAGAGAACCATGAGGTGGTTTCGATCTAAACTACATGGTCACCGTTGGATGAGATGACATGCATAAGAGTCCAATCCCATGACCGACATGGCGTGTTGACTGTTGGAAGCACGCAGCAGAAAACCCGATACTTTCGATCAAGTCCAAGCTCGTCAACATATCCAATTGGACCCACCTTTGATATATTAATTACTACACACCACACCACTTATCCGATATGAAACTTTTCTAACACGACTCATACGTGTACTTCAACAATCTCCCCCTCACGTGTCAGCTTAGTATTAGATATGCTCCTCCTTAATTCAAATATCCATACACACTAATATATCTCAACTTGAATCTTCAAGTCATTGCAATGCACCCGCAACTATGCACAACAACCATCATCAACTGCTAACTTGGAATTGTATCACTCATGGTCTACTATCTTGCGTCACCGGACCAACTATCCATGGTCTCTTCTCGCTAGACCAACTGTGATGGCAATTTCCACTTGAAACGAGCATCGATCATTGAATTTCTTTCTTGAAATATTCACCAAACACCTCAACATATAGGAGGCCCACCAATCAACCATCAACTCTGATACCATTTGTTGGGAGCACACAGCAGAAACCCGATACCTTCATCCAGGGAGATCGCCGAGAGGGAGCTCAAGTCCTAGCCCGTCAACATATCCAATTGGACCCACATTCACTCAAAAACTTAAACCAATGAGTTATAGGCCAACTTTGATATATTAATTACTCCACACCACACCGCTTATCCGATGTGAAACTTTTTTAACACGACTCACACACGTACTTCAACATTGAGTGTCTATGATTTCGTAATTTCCTTTTTCGATCATAGGGAAACCTAACAATGTCGTGTTTTAGTACATGTAATGTACGTTTTCGGAACCAAGTCGGGCAATAATAGAAGAAGCAAAACTAACTCCCCGAGTATAATTTTACTAATGTCTTAGTACATGTAATGTACGTTAGTCAAAGCAAGTTCGAAATTAATGTCATGTTCAGAACTAGGGAAGGGGGAAAATCTATAAACGGGGAACGAAAATTAGCCGAATTTTAAAATTTCCCCATGTCATTCTCACGAAAAATTATAAAATTCCTCTTATTTCTCTCGGACTCTTTTTTAACGAGTAATATAATGGCAACTGGCGAGGGGTGATCACCATAACTGCCCCGCTTATCGTTACCAAAAGAGTTCCACCCATCACTAGGGGAGTCCTAAACTTTTGTACGAAGTCCCAAATAGTCCTTTCAGTCAATTTTCATATGAAATTGTTGATATAACGTTATGCCACTTAGGACGGCTGACGATAACTGGACCGCTACGTCAGCGATTTCTGGCGAAAATTAACCGGAATGACTACATCAGAATTTCGTACAAATGTTCAAGACTAAATTGAGCAAAATTGAATAATTTAAAATTGAATTGACATACATACAATAGGATTAGGATCGATTGGGTAATTTTCTCCACCACTACGAAAAGCTTTGTTTTAATCGTAGATACTCATTCTACCCATAAGTGTACAATTTTGTCATGACAGCAACGTGACTTAAACTTATAATCTCATAGAGTAGAATGTAATGAAGATTTGGATCTAAGTAGTTTTTTGAAATTCAAATAAAAACTTAGATTTCCAGAGAAAAGCGTATATCATTTTATATAATCCGATTACAATAACAATAACAATAACATTATCAAATCGCATGCTTATTGTCGTAACTGATAAATAACTGATAATTATAGGTATATGGAGTACGCCTCAATAACCAGTGGCTCATAATGGCTCATGAATTTCCTAGAAATGGTAGAAATGAGATCACTATTTTAATAAATGACTTGGAAAAAGACAGTGAAACTTATTCCCAAGATTGCCTATAAATGTAATTTTATAATTATAAAAATTATTAAAGAAATTCGATATAAATAGGGGTTCTGTCGAGATATATATATATATATATATATATATATTCTGTTTATATATAATCGAATACAACATTCAATATAAGTCCGAACAATCAACCGAGTTCGGATGGATTTTCCGTGCAACTGAAAAAAATTTCAAACTCAAAATTGAAAATTAGATAGGATAGGATATGAGTTAGAGAAGGTACAGTGAAATTATTTATTATTGGTGGTTCAAAAAAAATATATATTTATTATTGAGAGAGAGAGAGAGATGGGCGGACGCAGCCCCGTACGCTGGCGCTCGCGGTCGCCACGTCGCCGCCGCCGCCGGGCTCTCCGCCTCACACGTCGCCGAGCCCCGCGAGCCCACCTGACTCCGCCATGCTCCCGCCACAGAACCCATCATCACCTGCCCGTCGAATCCTCGCGCCACGTGCCGCCCCGCCCCCATCTCCGCCGTCCACGTCGTCGCCTCGGCCGGCCACGGGATACCCCGCCGCCCACCACCTGTAGCTCCCCCACCGGACCCGCAGGATCCGACGGCCCGCGTTCGTCCCCCCCCCCCCCCCCTCTCTCTCTCTCTCTCTCTCTCTCTCCTCTTCTTAAGAGCCTTCGAAATGTCTCCGGTCATTGTCACACTTCTCCCATCATTGCCCCGAAAGCGAAGTTTGAGCAAGGAGACCAAACGAGACGGACGGTGGTGGTCGCCGCCGGAGCAAACGGAAGAAGCGCCGGCTAGCTCGCCGGAGGAGCTGGGACCGCTGCGGTCGAGTTCGACGGCGGTCGGGGTTCCGCTGAATGGAGAGCTTCGTCAAGCTGCCGGAGCGCGATAGCCTCCTCGCGTTGGACGGATGCGCGCTCAAGAGGAAGAGAGGAGCCCGGGAGCCGACCTCGCGCGAGTCCACTGCCGATGGTTCGAACAAGAAGGCGCCGGACGTTTCGGCGGAGGAGGACGGGCCGGTGAGGCCGGTGCTCGGCGGCGGAGAAGGGGAGGGAGATGTGCGGAGCCTGACGAGCGTGTCTCACGGGTCGATGTCGGTGATCGGGAGGCGGAGGTCGATGGAGGACGCGGTGACGGTGGCGCCGGGCGCCGCGGCCGGGAAGTTGGGCTCGTACGACTTCTTCGGGGTGTACGACGGGCACGGCGGCGCGAACGTGGCGAACGCTTGCCGCGACCGGCTGCACAAGCTGCTAGCGAAGGAGATGGAGGGGAGGGATGACATCTGCCGTGACGGGTTTGGAGAGAGCGAGTGGAGGAAGGTGATGGAGGCATCTTTCGGGAAGATGGACGAGGAGGTTGGAGGGAAGGGAGTGGACTCGTCGATGAGGACGGAAGGGTCGACGGCCGTCGTGGCGGTGGTGGGGCTGGAGGAGGTTGTGGTGGCGAACTGCGGGGATTCGCGAGCGGTGTTGTCTCGCAGCGAAGTGGCCGTGCCCTTGTCTCGTGATCACAAGGTGAGCTCTCAACTTCGTTCTGTTCGTTTCCAGTGAAGCTGTAGTAGCTCAGGGGATCTGTTCTTGTTCTTCCCACCCCAAAAGACACTTCATTTATTCATACATTTTGCCAGAAATCTTGAAGTGACTAGAATAATCTGATCTATATGAGTCAACCCTTTTGTCTACTTCGTGCCATTTCTGCGTAATTTTTTGCAAAAGATCACTCGGTGTTCTTTCAAAGGTGCTTAATTTTTATTGTGGTGTTTATTTCATTTGAAAGCATGTGCAAGAAATTCCTAGAATGTCTAATTCAGGTTAGTTTGACTTTGGGGTCTTGCTTCACAGGGTCTTGCTACGCTCTGGCATTCTCTGTTTTTGTTAATCGTTATGTACAGGCTGAGGCCCATCTTTACTCTGTTGGTGTAATCAGTGAACTAGAATTTGTCCCTGTGATGTTTTGTGGTCAGCCACGCATTGTTCAGTCTGCAGTTCTCAATAGATCACTGCTGAAATCACTTCAAGTCGCCACAAATGGTGATAGCTAGACGCGGCCCATAGCAATATGGTATGTTACCGGGTTAAAAAATGAACGCAAACCTTTTAAAGCTCTTGCCAGTATATTGATACCGTCTCTTCTTCAGTGACATGTCTATTTTCTGATATTTAAACAGTAACAAGGTCTTCAGCCAGTGAACGCGAATAGAGTCGTCTTCATATTGAAATGGTACAGTTTGACTTGTGGGAAATTTTCTTGAGCAACATCTTTAGAGCATTTGTCACAATACATACTCGATTAGTGGCCAATGGTAGGTCGGTAGCAGGATAAATTACTTGGTGCTAAAGCAAAAATAGTTACATCACGTCATGCATGTAATACCTTGGGTTAAACCTCTTGGATTTCGATTAAAATGGCTTACAACTCCCCTGAATAGCCTGACAGGCCAGATGAGAAGGAGAGAGTGGAAGCAGCTGGAGGAAGGGTCATAGATTGGAATGGATCCCGTGTCCTCGGCGTGCTTGCTACATCGAGGTCAATAGGTACGCAGAACTTCATCAATCAAATGGCTCTAATGATGGACTTTATTCGATGCTTTTATAGGAATATATACTTAATTTGTGCAAGTTATGTTGGTTTCCATCCAATTGCATTGATTGCTTCAGAGTAAGTCGAATTTGTGGTTAGCATTAGTACAATTGTGCTGCCGAACCTCTGCACTTGAAGGGAACGTATTCGATTACGCAGAGATTCTAGTTTGGCAACAATTTGTTTGAGTGCACCTTGGAATTGGTAACTGCAGCCATATGATATGTACTTGAAACAACGCCGAGGACTGAATTACCAACAGGGAACAATAACCAACACCTCTTGTGTGGTGGCTGTATCCTGTGTCTGATAGTGGCATTTACTTGTTGCAGGAGACTATTATTTGAAGCCATACGTGATAGCGGAGCCGGAGGTCACGGTAAGCAAGAGAACAGAGTTGGACAACTTCCTCGTGATAGCAAGTGATGGTTTATGGGATGCGATCTCAAATGAGGTCGCCTGCCAGGTCGTGAGGAGATGCCTCGATGGACAAATAAAGACGAGGTCCCCCGAGGAGCTGAGAGGAAGTTGCGCCGCCGAGGCGGCAGCGGTGCTAGCTGAACTGGCCATGGCTCGAGGTAGCCACGACAATATCAGCGTGATTGTGGTTGAGCTGAACAAACCGAACTCGAAGAGTCCTTAAGAAGAAGTTCCTCTTCATTTGGGTGGTTGTAGTGACCTCCTGTCACCATGTAAACTGGTAGAATGTTCCGACCAAAAAAAAAAAAACACTGGTAGAATGAGAACGTTTCTTTATATCCCCAAGTTGGGCTATCAATGTTCATCTTGTGTAATCTCTTGTACTGACTTCAAGTTGATATTAAAATGCCACGTCCTTCGTATCATTGCATCATGCTGTTTACTGTTTATACCTCATATGATAAGCTTTTATCCCAAGATTGACAATTACGACAGCAGCATTGTGTTGGAGACTACTTGCTGATCTCTTGTGACAGAGTGCTGGAAATTCATGAACAAAAGTCGACACGGGAACACCTCTCTTCAAATTAGCAAAAAAGTAAACTTTCATACCTTAAATTCTTCAAAAACCGAATAGATACAACTGTTTTGCAGAACACTATTAATATCCTAACAAACAGAGAAGCTGTTGCAAAGGTTCGCAACACAACAGAATCACAAGAAAGGAAAAACATCTAACAAGTAACAAGTTTAAGAAACAAAAGGACTTCGCGAACTATAAGGAAGCCCTTTTTTTCTCCTCAGCAAACCATTCTTTGCTGTGCACATCTCAGACTCTTCTCTTTTAACCGGCGAAGTAAGAGGGGAAAGAGGATGAGCACTCTCGTTTATGATGTCTCTTCACTCCTTTCGTCCTTCGAGCCTCGCCCTTATTCAGCTTGGTTTCCACCTGACACCCAAGTGGAAACGGGTTCCGACACCATGAAGCGAAGACAAACATTTTCGAAAAGAAAGAAACCGAGAACTTCCGAGACCGTATGCAACAAGTATGGCTGCACAGTTCTTTACATCCCTGAACCCAGAAAAACTGTGCAATGTCTTCTGAAGCTTGAACTATCTTCCTATGCCAGAGTGTAGCTTGAAATGGAGACGTCCGCCTGAGGCGAAGCATGGATGTACACGAACTCGAGGCTCTTCCCAGAAGGTAAGGATTGGATCCAGGAAGGGAACACGTATGAGTCGCCAGATTTGGCTAGTCCCCACAGAGGACCATAGAGCTTGGAGATCGAAAGGTTGACATATTTAAGGGTCTTGTCCGACTTGTTGGTCACCACCGTCGAGTATCTGTAGTATGTTTTTCCGTTGGCGGTCCATGAAGCCGTTAGCTTCTGCTCGACGGACAACTGGTTGGAAGTTGTTACTGGAATCAAGAAAGCGACAGTGCAGAGTAAGCTAATGGAATCACAGCATTAATCAAGGAAAATTTTCGTCTTTGCTTCAGGATGTTGTAAAAATCTTTAATTTCACAGTTAGTGAGGGGAGGCGGACGAAATTGTACCCGGAGCGGGAGTTGGCTTGGTCACGACTGCTTTTGGCGCAGGAACAACCACTGCATGGAATGAAAACAGATTCATCAGAAGCAGAAATATGCGAAAGCATTGCTTTTGTCTGAACAACTCCCAACTTTCAATGATCAAATTCTATTGTTAGAATGGGATATGTCACGTACCGGGAAGGAGCTGATTGTAACCCCCGTGACCGCCACTCAACCGGGCTAATATGCCTAGGAGCGGTGCGTTGTTGTAAGTGGCAGGCTCCGTTTGCTCGTAATTGTCTCTTTGATCAGCAAAGTTGTCATATGCATCAGGGCCACCGACGATAGCACCGGTGAGGAGATTGGGGTCACTCGCTTTCCGGCTAAACCATGTGGCATATCCGCCTCGGCAGCTCACGAAGGAAGAATCGGCCTTTATGGACACGATGGAAGCCGCCCGGTGATGGACTTGCCTCGGGTAGTTGTTCCCGTAGCCAACCATGTAGCTCGTGGCTCTGGGGTTGTCTCCCAGAATATAGTCCACCTGCATATATTCAACATTCACGGAGTAAATATTTTTTCATTGGATCTTGATTTATAACAAGATTCAATTATAAACATCAAATTCTCACATTTTCCTCAATTAACTGGTTATATCAGCGACTATAAATCACACAGCACTGGCAAAAGATGAAGATCAGAAAGTCACTATGACAATCAGACGGATTGTATTACCTGAGATTTCGCGAAGGAGAGGAGTTCCGATGGTTGAACACTGCTGGACGAGCACTGCAAGCTCTTGCCTGAGGAAGAAAGGTAGTCGGAATAGACGGTCATGAGGAACGCGGCACTCGTGACGAACTGCATATTGTTCCAGCTCTGGCGGAAGATGAGGCCACCGGGGGTCATCTGGACGTTCCTCGACCCCTTCCCGAGGCACGAGCACATGAAGTACTCCGCCTCTTGCTGGTATTTCTCGAAGACCGACGAGTAGTGCCCAGCCTGCCCCTGCATCAGGAACTGAAGCAAAAAGGAACAACATTATCAAGAAATGTCGAGCGAAAGTGAAAATGGACACGATTATGTGCCGAACTATGCAGTACTTAGGACATTTTTTTCCCAACCCGAATTCGAATAAGTAATGAATCATCAGCGTTCACTAACATTGTCCTGTAAATAAGACCTTACATTTTCAACAGAAGCAAAACGAATTACTAGGAAGTAAACCATGGTATCAAGAGAGTACCTTGGCGACGAGTGTCTGAACACCGGCATACTTGACGTCCCAGCCGAACTCGGTCATGCCCCAAGTGGTTCCGCCCAGCGAGTCGCCGTTGTTGCCCAAGTAACTGAGATAGTACTGGTTGTTGGTGGCTTGGTACAGCCATGCAGCAGCCCACAGCAACTCATCCTTCACACCCCAAAACAAAAGAAGATAATGAAATTCAGTAAAACCTCAAAAAACAAATTACCAATTTCTAGCAAATAATTACAAAAAAAGAAAAACCGCTTAATTGGGTATTTTTATAAGAAATACGTACATTGTACCCACTGACTGATCTATAATACTTCTGGGCCACGGTAATGCTGCTGTCGTATTTGCCCCTGTACTTGTCCGCAAACTCAAACAGCTGAAAAACCAAAGACGGTGAACAAAACTTAGATCGATCATACTAATCTCCGCAGCATTCATAATCAAGGAAAGATCTCTCGGATTGGGGAAAAAGCAAGAACTTCGGAGGACCAATAAGCAAAAATTACAAAATTTCCGACAAAAGTGTCCATTTTTCTGCTGTTTTTTCGACAATTAACTCGTCATCTAATTGATTTACATCACATATCGAAGAAGCTGCCGCGCACCACCCCGACGGGCGAGCTATCACGTGACGAAGGTCACGTGCTCAGGTTATCACCGCGACTAAACTAAACTAAACTAAGGCAGTATTTTATTATGGTCGAGATTAATCAGAACTGAACGCGAAAGCTAGCGTACGGTCCAAAGGACAGAGACCCGTGATGGGCGCAAGAATCGCCTCCCGCGATCCAACTTATGCGCCGGGGTCAGCGCTTGGATCAAGCTGCTGCTAATCTGCAGCGTTAAGTGTACTGTACTCTGCTCTCGATTTACGCTAAACATAATCACGCACGCCACTTACTGCTGCAAGCTAAGCAAGCATCAGAAGTTACCGTAATCTATGTCCATGATGGGTGTTTTTTCACGAGATACTTAGCGTGTTGTGGACCGTTGCTTAGACCCATTTCATGTTTCATGACAATGTAATTGATTTACTGTTTACTAGACGAGGTTCTGGTCTCAGTAATGCGACACGCGTGAAAGAGAACGAAGCGTGCACCGACCAATCTGACAAGAAAGGGTAAAACTTTTTTCCAACTTCCTGCCTACTATCCTCCACCGCTCTCGCTAACGTGCGCTGCTCAGCCGCCCTATGACGGCGGCGGATCAGGTGAATAATGGCTGGGAAAAGTAAAAAGTGTCAAAAGGTGAAAAGGACGATGCTGGGACGGGACCACCTTAAAAGTATTGGCTGCTAACGTGCGCTAAACACGACCTACGCACTCGTAGACGAGTGTCCCTTTCGGTCTCCCTTTAGAATTTTTGGCGCTAAGGCCTCGATCCTCCTTTCGGCCACTTCCGTTCTCTGTAGTTCTCAAGGTCTCCCTCCATCAATTCAAATTTTCATTAACCAGATTATTCATAAGTAAATAATGTAATTTGTTTCCATTTTTAGTGTTCTAACGAAGAAACGGAGCTGAATCGCTGCGGTGAATAATTGGAGAACTATAATGGCCAAAACATTCTATAGAAATAGTTGGAGGGCTATGAGATCTGAGGGGAGCGAGAAAGTCAAACCTGCTCGGCGTGGCGGAGGAGCTCGCCGGAGTATGCGGCGTTGGAGGAGTGGAAGACCATGGACGCGGCGGCCATGGCGGCGGCGGTCTCCCCGGCGAGGTCGGACCCGGGGTTGCTCGGGTCGATCCGGTACGCCCTCCTGTCGGTGGTCATGTCCTCCGGCCTCTGCCAGCAGTAGTGGTCGGTGTTCCCATCTCCCACCTAACCACGTATCATTCGGACCGTTAAATAAAACCGATTAAAAAAACGCCATGAACACAAAAAAAAACATAGTTAAGCTTATGTCTATAGCAGCAAAAAGGGCAAGATAATCCCATTGATAGCGACAGCAAGAGAGGGGATGATGCCGCATGAAACTGAATAAAAAATCACAACTTTGCGCGGATATTTCGTGATTCTCCACAATAAGTTGAACCCCATTGACTCTCTGATCAACATCTTTCTGTCTCTGATAAGTAAAATGGATAAACAGATGGTTGTAATTAACGAGGGTAATATACCTCTCCATAGAGGACGTATGGTTCAGGGTGAGCCTTGATGAAGTAGTCAGTGCCCCACTTGACAGCATCCATGGCGTGGCTCAGCTCACCGCTCGCGGCCATTTGCTTGCCATACTCCAGTATGCTCCAAGACATCATTGTCACCGTGAATGCCATGGGGAGCCCGAACTTCACATTGTCCCCTGCATCGTAGTACCCTCCCACCAGATCCACCTGAGGAAACCATTGAAATCCCAAATGATGGGGTGAGACCAAATTTTTTGAAAGCTTGTGAGATGTTAAAATTCATTATGTTCGGTGTGATGGGTATCTGAGATTTGTTCGAAAGGACCGGTAGGCTTGTGAAAAGAAGTGATTTTTCTGACCTACCTAAATTGGCATGAGCAAGGGCAATTAAAAAAACAGAGTAAAGGTTGATACAGTCTTGTGCGGTGCGAGAGTGACTAACTTACCCCGCTCGCTTTTCCATCGCTCAAGCCGGAATTGGCTCTCCACGAGACTCTCTGCGTGCTGGGTAGGTAACCAGATCTCTGAGCTTCAAAGAAGAGGATGCTCTTGGACAGAGCTTGGCCATAGTCATGCCCGCCAAGAGCCAGAGGACTCCAGAGGAGCACGAGAAACAGAGGACACAGAGCAAGCGTCATCTTCTCCGTATCAGAGAACAAACGGAAAACAGAGGCAAATGCGAATGTGCTGCGACAAACCGAAGCACTTTTGTGCGTATCAACGGAGAATGAGATGCTCCCCCAAGCTTCTAAAACACAAAAGAGAATCAATCTCACTTTGCCCCCCCTCCCGAAGATAAATCGGTAATGCGGCTCTGGTTCACCAGCTAAAAATTTCTGACGAACCAACCCGCTAAAGAAAACAGCAAAAGCGAGAGACTCTACTACAACTCAAGACAGAGTGTGAGAGCGAGAGACAGAGAGAGAGAGAGAGAGAGAGAGAGGGAGGAGGGGTTGGGAAGAAAGGAGGGGGAGCTGGAGCGTCTTTATAATCGAAGAGAAGCAGAAGAAGACCCTCAATAAAGGCAAACAAAAGAAAAAACACAAATTCATTATTATTTAGTATTGCCGAATGACCAAATTTTGTCCATTTACTTCTCTTTCGGATGGCTTGACAGCGGTTGGGAGAGAAGAGGAAGAGGAAGAGGAAGAGAAAGAGAAACCATGTGAAAGTGGCCCCCCACACTTGGAGATGGCTTTTTACAGCAAGGGTCGGTGGAGATTTAAATGTGCACATCAGAAAAAGGAAAAGTTTTACGCGCTGGCCTGTTCATTCATGCGCAGAAAGGCAGGGGTGGGATTCATTTACTGCTGCTCGAATCGGGTATTTTGATTCGTTTAAAGATCGGTCGAGAGTCGAGCGCGATCCCTGTTCGTACCTAAGTTTGAATATAAGGGTCTTGACCTGTTTGAGGGAGCGCAGATCGCGACGTTGGTTCTTTGGCGCTGCACGGGGAAGTTGCGAGGCTGCCCGAATCATCAATGCGATCGCCCAAAAAGAAGGGTTTGGTGCGGCCATGGGGCCTCTTCGCAAATCTTCCGTGCGATATCGGCACCCCTTCTTGTCGTGAATGAACTACGTTCTTCGTGTAACAAAATGGGAAAGTATTTTTTTTTTAGGAGTGATCAGTTCTCGAGTGATCCGATTCTTATTCAGAAATTAAGAACCAACCAGACCACCCGGGAACCAGACTAGAGGGGCCGGTTCCCGATTAAATCGGGAGCATCTAAGAGTCAAGTGAGAGAGTGATTGAGAGTCAAGCGAGAGGGACGCAAGCGATTCAGGCGAGATGGTAGCGTGTGAGAATCGAGCAAGCACAAGAGGCATGAACATGAAGAATATGATTAGGGTTTGTGAAAGAGTGATGAACACGAAGCTCACGATAGGAGACGAGCATAGGGTAAGAGCCATCCGTGCTTAAAACTTTTCAAGGATTTGTAAGAGATATAAAAAAAATCGATCCGATACAGTTTGTCCAGGTAGGCGGTTCCACATATGGAACCGGAGATCGGACAAAAAATCACCGGTTCCAATTTTTTGAAACCTAGAACTAGACTAGTGCCTTGGGAACCGTTCCGCACGATTTCTTTTGCACAGTCCTAATTTTTTGGGGGTATTGACTAATTTTGTCTTTGGAAAAATCAAAGTCATGCAAGTCGGGGCGAAGAGGGGTTAGTCACACGCGAAAGTTCTTTGCAAACTTTACCCCGACAAGATACGTGCCGATGTGGAGCCACATCCCGGGCTTCTGTATATTTTTGGGGTGAAGGCTGTCTCGATCGTCTTACCAATTTACGTAATCTTGATAGTTTGAGAGATAAAAGAGCGTTGACTTAGCCCAAAATTCGCCTGGAAAAGTAAAATCTCATGCCCTTATCCTCACCACTTACTCGTATTTTTGTATACGGAAATGATGGAGCCAAATGAACCGCACGACAACGAGTATTCCAAAGGCACTAGTTTTCTTGAGATGCATTCAAGCGGTGTTTTTCGAAATTCAAACCAATTTTGTTCGACAAGCTTCGTTGCGACTCCACCAGACCGGTCGACCCAAACCTTAAAGTTATATCGCCCGAACCTTATTGAACGGGGACTAATCGTTGTAACTTGTGGTATAACATTCCATCAAGCATGTGTAAAATACGCACGAAATTTTGAGCTCTCTATTATATGGTGTTGAATGCTGCTCATATTTTCCATGCAAAACTCTCTCTCTCTCTCTCTCTCTCTCTCTCTCTCTCTCTCTCTCTCTCTCTCTCTCTCTCTCTCTCTCTCTCTCCATGTTTAGATCGTGGGGGCATATGGGGTTAATTCAAGAGCTTGAGATGCGGTCGAGCAGTCTCCATCGCTGCTCGTGGAGGGGCCAAGGGTGAATTATTATTAACCCAAGAAGAATGTTAAAAAAATAAAGGAGCTAATGACACAAACAGCTACTGAATTTTGAATTAACGTACAATTTGATCTCTGAACTTTTAATTTGTTTAATATAGTTCTCGAACTTTAGCCTAATGTGCAATTTGATTCCTAAACTTTTAATATGTTTAATGTAGTTCCTAAGCTTTAACCTAACGTCCAATGTGATTCCTAAATTTTTAATTTGTTTAATATAGTCCCTAGACCTTTAGTACATGTTTAATGTAGTTTTTGAACTATATTAAAATATTCAATGTAGTTCTTGAACTTGAATTAATAGAAGAACTATATTGAATATTTTCATATAATTCAGAGATTAAATAATTTATGGATGACATTAAACAAATTAAAAGTTTAGGGATCGCATTGCACATTGGGTTAAAGTTTATGAACTATGAAGAAATTAAAAGTTCAGGGACCGCATTGCACATTAAACCAAAGTTCAATGACTGTTTGTGTCATTTTCCCTAAGAAAATGATGTTTGGATACCTGTCGAGTCTTATCGAATGTACTTTGTAGGTTTAAAATTCACTATCTGAAGTAAATGATTTTGTTAAAATGGGTATTCTTCCATTCTCAAAGTGTTTTTGAATTGTTATTCTTATTTTTCAATTTAAGTTTACTGGTATCCCGAGGCCACACCCTCACGAAAATGACGAAACTTTGTATCACCTTAGTCACTTATGTCATGCGATAGATTAACACGATGCTATTCATCTTGACAGATGTCATTATTTGTCAAGACTTCCAAGCATATTTGATGCCCCGGATACCTTAATGGACATTATGATTGGTCGAGTGTGATGCCCCGTATCAACATATCACGTGGTACGAGCGATTCGATTCGCAAGAGTGCATTCGGTTCGGCCGCAACATGCATTTATGATCCCATCTCGAGCTGATGCTCTAGCTGCGCAAGTGTAATGTGCAAGTTACTAACGCGCCCAAAAGTGCCCCCCTCAAATTAAAGATATCAGGTCCCAGTTAGATACAATTGTCTGGGGATCTCATTCGGGATCTCATTCAAAAGACCATCCAATCCAACCATTTTGGGAATCTCTTGGCAGAGCACGATGGTAAAGTTATCAAAGTTGCTATGTTAGCTTATAACTAGCGAATGATCTCTTGCTTCAACCTACTACCATTGGAAGCCGAAAGTCGGAACACTAGCCATCCCACTTGGCCACAAAAAGACGGCATATCACCAGATCTCTACGACCTACGAGAAACCATTAAGTGAACTCGTGTTACTTGATCAAATTGACACATTACTCGGTGCACACCCGTGTAAGGATTCACAATTGGGTAATTTTTTCTTCGGAATATAAATGGGATAAACAACATTCGGGTGCCCGAAAAAATGTTATCCGGCCAGCATAAGATTAAAAAGAGAGAAAAAGATCTATAATATGCTCAAAAGTCTAAAATATGATCATGTGATTTTGTAGGGAGAAGTGTCGGAAAATTCATAAACTTATAATGCCCTTTTAGTCTTAAACATTTTAATTGTACCAATTTAATCTTAAAACTTTTGACCTAGAACCGATTTGGTTGTCCCGGCTAATTCTAGTCGGATTTTTTGACGTGGATGCCAACCGGCCTACGTGGCACGGCTAGCATTGATGTAGAAATTTTTTAATAATATTTTTAATAATTTTCGATTTTTTTTATTTTTATCTTTCTTTTTCGTTTTTTCTCTCTTTTATTCCTCCTCTTTCCTCCGGCGGCCGACAAGGGCTAGCCTCGCTTGAGTAACCAGCCGACGTTCACGTCAATAATATCTGGTCAAAATTAGTTGAAAGGATTGAATTGACCCCAGGTCAAAAGGTTTATAGCTAAATTTGCACCAATGAAGGATTTATGACTAAATCGGCACAAATGTGATAAGTTTACGATTTTTCCGATATTTTTTCCTGATTTTTTTATAAGAGAAATGATGGAGAAATCGGAGCTTGCCGTTTCTCTTCCAATGGCGCCACCAGGGCGACAACTAACATGTTCTCTTTAGAACGATGTCCACCGGATTGACCTGTACTCACACCGGGGATCGGAACCCGACAACCCGACAAACAGCACACCATCGCCCATCAATATCTTCCCTTTCTTGAAAACGAAAAACCAATTAAATTAATTAATTAATTAGAAAAAAAAATTTATTATAAAAAAAAAGGGCCCTCAAAGTCCACCGACAGCAACCGGTAAAAAACCTACCTGTTTACTGGACGGTCCAGTCCAAACCGCATCGGATGGCATTCCCCGTAAATATTCCGCAGAACCGTGGGCACTTGCGCTGCAGCAGGGAGAGAGAGAGAAGGGACAAAAGCAGATGCGGTCAAAAAACAAAAAGAGAGAGAAAGACGCGGTGGGCCCCCCTCGTTCGGACCGGTTTTTAATGTTTCCAACCGCAATCAACGGTCGCCGCCGGAAAAGAGGTCGGAAATCTCAGTTGATTGACTCCCTCTCTCTTTTGTTTTTTCGATTTTGTCCTTTTTTTTTATTTTGCGAGTTTTTTTTCTCTTTTTGCTTTTACGAAAGTAAGTGCGAATTAAAATATTGACCGGAGAAAAAAGAGGAAAGAACATAAAATTTGGTGGGGGCTAAAAGGGCGAGAAAGTAAGGGAAAAATAATGGGGAGGGGGCAGGCACGCCGCGCGCGCATGGCGACAAAGTCAAAGGGGAGCATGGCTCCGCGATGGCCGGTGGGCACCGGTTTTGTCACGGCGACGGCAGCGACTCGGACGGGGGCCACAGTCACCGGTGAGCCTCCCCCCAAATAGCTCCCTCGTGAAATGAGAATGACAGCTAAGTAACCCCCTTGGCGCCTAGACTCAGACGACGTTGCTACCACAGGATTGGATCTTGCTTTCGTTTAGATTTAGATGTAGATGATCCATTTAGATCTTGTTCTTTTAGTGTGTCTCTACCTAAGCTTTTTGTAGTTGGATTGATCTTCTTGATATGGTGCAATTTCCGGTAGAAGTATAACGTTTCCATGCGAATATAACGTGGTTGGATTAAGATAAGAATTCTTTTATGTGACGGCCGAATTACGCGTC